CTCTATCCATTCACAGTTTCAAAACCACTTCCACATTTAGGTATCTGTTAGAGCAGCACCCTACTCTCTCGGTACCAGATTCTGTCTTGGTCATCTAGTGCTGCTCTAACAGAAATACCACATGTGGGTGGTTTTAACAAAGAGAAATTTATTTCCTTACAGTAGAGTAGGCTAAAAGTCCAATTCAGGGTGTCATCTCCAGGGGAAGGCTTTCTCTCTCTGCCGGCCTTATCATCAATGTTCCCCCGGGCTAGGAGCTTCTCCACGCAGAGACCCTGGGTCCAAAGGACGCGCTCTGCTCCCCTCCCGGTCGTTCTTTCTTGGTGGTATGAGGTCCCCAATTCTCTGCTTGCTTCCTTTTCCTTTTATCTCTTGTAAGGTAAAAGTTGGTGCCGGCCACACCCTAGGGAAACTCCCTTTACATTGGATCAGGGATGTGACCTGGGTAAGGGTGGTATTACAATCCCACCCTAATCCTCTTTAACATAAAATTACAGTCACAAAATGGAAGCCAACCACAGAGTTCCAGGAATCATGGCCCAGCCAAATTGATACACACAATTTTGGGGGGACAAAATTCAAACCATGACACTGGTATATTGTCATACCACAGATCAGTGGCACCAGCGTGCCACCGGCCTTAATGGTGGCTTGTATTACCAGATCATATTTCTCAAAATCCGTATATTACCAACCAAAAATTTAAACAGACTCAATTAGTAAGCATGCATTCCAATACTAAAAACAGATGCCCTCAAAAAAAAATTGTTTTAAATTAAAATTTGGTAACGAAAAGTATCTGTGCACCATGTTCACACTAAATGACCAATCATTAAATTTATTCTGAGACTCGGTATACTCTGGAAGACTCATTATCATCATACAAAAACTATTTAATCCTATAGGGCCCCAGTCATCCAGTTTGTGGGCCTGTCCATAGTTTTCCATCACACCTGACTTCAGGAGTTCCTCTCCGCGCTCACTGATCTCTGCAGAGAAGAGTTTCTGGACATAGTTCAGTTGTGGCTCCTTAATAAATACTGTCATAAATCACATTTGGTTTGCATGTGATCTGGTGATATGCTAATCCTGAGCCTTCTTCTCTTGAAAATGTCAGGAAAAACTTTCCTTTGATGAAGAAATTCCATTTCTCTATTACAGAAAATTCCTTTGACTACTCTGTGCTCCCAGCTGAATTGTTCAGCTTATTATTATTTAATGAGTGCCCACATTGGCATTGCATATGATGTAAACTTCCAGTAAACGCTGCCCTGTGTTGGACATCACTGATCTGTTGTGCACCTAAGGCTTCTCGCCTGGAACACACACAAGTGCCCTCTCATAGCAATGCCTGGGAATAACAGTGATAGCAGAGCAGTTCTTCATGTTTGTCCTTTTACATGAAATTGCCCTCAGCCTGTGAATCAAAAAGAACATTTTAATGTTCTTTAATCTCCTGTCCACCTCCACCCCATCCCTTCTGAAGTAATGACAGTCTTCCCATCAGGTCTTGTTAACCCTTAGCTGAAAAGGCAAATTTTCCTAAGTGATTGATGCTCGGAGTTTAAGTATGAAGCCTTGCCTTCAAAGCCTGACAGGAATAAATAAAAAGACAAATTGTAGGTGCTTTTGTTGCCACAGCAGGGGCTCCATCAGCTTTCTTGTCTCCAAATGTGTGAACTGCCTGAAGGACCTAAGTAACTGAGAGGCATGCATACACCTCTCTGGTTTCTCAGATATTAGTGGAAATTGCCTCCTACTGTGGGTGCTTTCTGGCTCAGTGTTCTGAAAGGGAAACATTCTACTCCTGGCACAAGTATTGACTACACTTTAACTGGTTTGCCAAGGAAGAAAAATCCCAGGGGACTGGTAGCTAGCAGGACTAATGTAGCTGCTCAATTCTGCCGATCCCCGACTAAGAATGGCTTCTCTCTCTCTTCGCGCCCACCCCGCCCCCCCCCCCATTTAAAAAAGAGAAAGAGAAGCAGAGGATATACCTTAACACCCATTTCAACTGTACCCAAGTACATAGACTCAGTTTATTTCAAGCTTCTGATGACCCCCTTCACTAAATATTATGCTGGTTCCACAAATAATCCAAATGCCTATGATGGGTTATTATGGATTGAGTTGTGTCCCCAAAAAATGTGTGTCAATTTGGCTAGGCCATGATTTCCAGTATT